TAGAATATTTATAATTCTAAGTTCATATGTGCATCATAATGCTTTAAAATGCAAGAAAAGATCAAGTATGCAAATTGATTCAAAGTGGGTTTGACCAAAAAAGTCAACATTTCAAGTTCAAAAGATCACAACTCCTTCACTATTAAACATTTTTGAGTGATTTTTTGGGCATATGAATCTCCTTGACATCCTATACAACTTCTCTTTGCAAATCAAGAGCCAATTATGTTTGGAAGATCATCAAAAGTTTGGATACATTATAGGTCATTTGTGGACCTAGAAATTTTTTACCTATTTTTAAGTGATTTTTGCTCAACTTTCAAGAATGATAACTCCTTAAATTTTCACCATTTGAGGCTTATTATTTTTTTGAAATATCATTCTTTATTCCCTCTACAAGTTTGCATCAATGGTTAAAGTCCAATATTGCTTGGAAGGCCATGGAAAGTATTGAAAGATTATAGGTCATTTTGGACTTAGAATTTTCAAGGCTTGCTTTGCCATAATTTTGTACCAACTTCAATTGATCATACCTTTTTCCACAAGTATCCAAATGCAACATTTCTTGTCACATTGTGATCTTTGTGATGATGTTCTCAAATTGGAAAAAGAATGAATCATAAAGGTGCTTGATACATGATTTCCCATCGGTGTAAACATGACCTCATGAAACTGCATTTTTGCACTTTGGTCAGAATTTTGATTCACATTTACAAGTCAATTTAGCACGCGTTTTGGACATAAACATGCTTAAGGAAGCTCACTGAAGCTAAATGACACATAAAACGCAAGGTTAAGTTGCATTTGGATGGATTGGAGCTCACACTTTCCTCACCTTGTAGGTTCACATGAGTTGGATCGATTCTGATCATTTCCCACGTATAAACATTCCATCATTATCTCCTATAAATAGAGGACCTCACTTCATCATTTTTCAAGCTTTTGAGATCCAAAGAATCCATGTTCCACCTTCAATTTTCATGCATAAAAGCTTGAGATCGTGAAACCTCTACAAGCCATCTTAACGCAATATCTTCATTCACGCACCTTCCTTGAAACCTCACGAAGCTAACACAACAAGAACCAAGGTATGAGATGCCATGAAAATATCCAACCAAGTCCAGTTTCAGAGCAGTTCAATCACACTTTGTTTAGGTAGCTACAAACCTCCATTTGCTTCAAACTCTATACCATGATGTAGCCCTTGGTTTTCTTAAACTCATACTTCTTTTAGATTTTATTTTCATTCTGATTTCATCATTTAATTTTGATTTTGATTTTCAAAAATGCCACGAGTTTTTATAAAATTCTCTTTGCTCAGTTTATATAAATTTTCACAATGCATATGGTTGAGATCACGATAAAGAGATGACCACAATGGTGGTGGCCTTAGTGTGCCATGTTTCAAAATTCAAAAACTATGGTGAAGGTGATCGTGGAAGATGACCGGAGGAAGAAGAAGATGAACTGAGTTCATTTTTCACATTTGGACCAATAACACAATGACACTTGAAATGTTTTAGTTGGCTGACTATTTTTGAAATATGGTGCATTTACTTGGTTAATTTCCACCATATGTGTGCGCCTTTGGGCTACTTGATCTTCCACCTCATATTAATGAGGATTTATCCAACGTGCCTCCTATTTTCAGCTTTTATTTTATTTTTATTTTATTTTTTAAAAATTTATTTTTATTTCTAAAATTGATATTAAATTCATTTTTACTCCAAAATATCTCAAAATAATTTTTAAAATTCTCTCTGATTGTTCTTCATCCGATTCTTATTTTTTCAGTATTTTATTTTTATTTTTACTATTTTTCATTGATTTTAGATTATTTGCTTGATTTTAATTAGTTTAAAATTAGTTTTATGTTTCCAAAAATTACTATGAAAATTTTTAAAAAATATTAAATATCATTTTTGATTTTTCTATGGTCTCCTTTAAAATTCATTTGATGTTTTGAACATAATTTGATATTTTACCATTTATTTCATTTAAAAATCAATTTAAAAATCTTTTTCCATGCATTTTAATTGTTCCTATTGCATTTTTTATTATTGTTTGACCTATGTTGACTGTTGTTTTTCTTGGATCTTGGTACATTTGATCATAAGTTTCATCAAATTCAATGGATCTTGGATGTTCATGGGGTGAAAACCCTAATCCATCAAAATGGATGATTTATCTTGATGATAACTTGATCAAAACCTTGATCCAACTTGGGATCTACTTTCTATCTTTCTCCCTTCATCTATCTTCACCTCTTTCTTCTTCTTTTTCTTTTTTTATCAATTCGATGATGATGATTCATCTTAGTTCCATTAGGTTTGAATTGATACTTGATGAACTTTCATCATTTCAAATCTACATCTAAGTGGTCAGTTGATCACTCAAGGTACTTTAGATTAATGATAAGTTTTCCCTAAAGTATCATGAAGGATTTGATTGATGTAATGATCTCATCTCCTTGACTTAGTCTTGATCACCTTTACTTTTAAACCATGGTGTGCATTATATGTAATACACCTATATTATTTTGGCCTGACCTCAGATAGGTGCAACTTCGATATAAAATCACTTACGGTTTCTTAACATAGTTTCAAATTGTCCTGAATCAGAAGACTAATTACTAACATTAACAATAATTATACTAACATTTAGTTTTCTACACGTTTACATTTTCATCATTTAAATTTCCCGCAATTTACATTATGCCCTTTACTTTTAACATCTTTATCATTCTTATCATTTTACTATCTTGCCGTTATTTTATGCCATTTTTCTTTTGCTCCTTGAGCACTTTATTTTATGTCATTTTTCTTTTTCTCCTTGAGCACTTTATTTTTATGTCCTTTTTCTTTTGCTCCTTGAGTATTTTTCTTCTTTCTTTAAAGACGTTAATAAATACTTAAAAATTAAAAACTTAATGCTCTTCTTTGGACTATGGTTACTATCCTCTGCTTATGGAAATTTAGACCTTTAGACTTAGGATAGACCCTTGGACTTTCCTCTGAATGTTGTGATCTTAATTCATTTGAGTTCTTGGTTGTGTTTTTTGTCTGTTTGTTAAGAATTTTTCTGTATGCATGTGTTGTTACTTTGATGCTTTAAAATTCATCTGATACATGACCCTTAATTGAATTTGTAGAATTAAATGAAAACCTTACTTTGACTTTGTTATGGCTTGAGTTCTCTGAATTCATTTGATGCTTTGGTTTTCATCTGATTATTTTTCTTGTGGCTTAAACTTAAGAGAAAGGGAAATGCTCATGTTGGCTTATTATCAAGAGTTTGCTTCTTGTTTGGTTAGATATTTTCTACCTTACCTTTTACTTTATGCTTTAGGATAATCCCTTTATCTCTTGTCCATCTTCTTCAATTTTCAAATCTTCTTCTTTTTTTCAGAACTTTTTTGTTTTCAAACTTAAACTACTTTCAATAAAAAATTTGGCTTTGTCAATTGTATTTTCAAATTTTCTTTTCTTAAATAAACGGTAAGACATCTTAAGCATATCAAACCCCTTTTTCAAAAGACTTTAAAAACACAAAACTCATTCAAACTTTTTTGCCATTTGATTTTCATTTTAAAATCTTTTCTCAAGGATTAGACATGAGTCATCTTCATAGTTGAGATGTAATTCTTTGATCTCCATGATATTGATTGATATTGTGTTTATTCTTTTCTACCTGAAAGAGTTAGTGGCGTACTTGTTGATTTCTATCCAAGTTGGAGTCCTTCTTTCATTGTGATGCAAATGTCCATCTTTCTCATGATTCCAGATTATTGATTCAGTATTCTCCTTAAGATGACAAAATATCTCTTCATTTAAAATCAACCAACAAACAACTTTGTTCTTTTTTAGAAGAACTACGTGATTCTGATTTCTTCATTGCACATTGAAGATACGCATGCACGAGGCTCTTGAAGTCTTGCCGAATCAAAATCATAAAAACCATTTATTTTCTCATCTCAACAATATTTTACAAACAACCAATTTTAGTCTTTAACACAGATTTTTAAGAGGTTCTCATAGAGTACCATAAATGTTTAGCATACTAATATATTTCATTTATATAACAAACCCTCGTACTTTAATCTTTTTATTTTATTAGTTTTATTTTAAAAAATTTATAAATTTTATTCGTTCTTTTCTGACTTTTTATTTATTTTAGAAACAATGAAATATAATAACAACTCTTGATTTATGAGTTAAATTAATTAATAATTTAATTTCAAATTTTCACCCCTACACTATATATAAATCCAAATGATAATAGTTTGATTGTCCTTAATTCAGTATTGCAACGACTATAATATGTGTCCTGCAACTTGACATTCACACATTTGAATACTCAAACCCATCCATTATTCTCAACATTACCATTATCATTATCAAACTTGTGAAATGTTGTACGTAAACGTGTTCATCATACATAACTACTATTTACTATTTTTGTCATAAATGATTATTAAAAATAAAAACAAATAATTTGAATATTCAATACACGGTGTCTTGATAGCATATTACTTGATTTTAAATTTGTACTGGCCTTTTTTCTTTTACAATTATTTTTAATAAATTTAAAACTGTCAATGTTTATTTTAACTGATTTTTTTTTAGAACGGATTAAAATTTTAAATTGGCTCTATCTCATTTATTTTAAGAGTTTAAAAAACGTGAAGAAATAGGGTGTGCAGTTTGCCACCCCTATTTAAAACTAATCTATCGGAAGGCCCATTAAATAGTTCCAATTTTAAAAAGAGATGTGACGCAATACCCCACAAGGCTTCACAATCATAATGCGAAATGACTCAAAAGCCATACACTGTAAACACATTTTCAGACAAAAACACCCTTACTAACTCACATTAATTACACAACTTTACCCCCAAATTTCCACCATAAATAACGGTACCCTCCTCTACCTTTCTTCCCTTTCTCCCTCCTCCCTCTCTCCTCTCTCTAATTACTAAAACCTCCGCCACTGCCGCCACCATGATCTCCACCCTCTCTCCCTCCGACTCTTTTCTCGACAACCCATTCTCCACCTTCTCCGGCAGTTTCCCACCTTGGGATTTCCATGACCTATTTTCCGACGACCTCGAACCCACCACTCCCCTACCCATCACGTCAACCTCCGGTTCAGACGAACCGAACCAAACCCACGAGAAACGTAAACCGGACTCAGACGAACCGAACCAAACCCACGAGAAACGTAAACCGGACTCAGACGAACCGAACCACCGGGCCATAGTCATAGACGAGCGAAAGCGGAGACGCATGTTATCGAACCGGGAATCCGCCCGAAGATCACGGATGCGTAAACAACGTCACGTGGAGAATCTAAGGAACCAGTTGAACAAGTGTAGAATCGAAAACAAGGAACTCAAAAACCGGTTGCAATTCATTTTGTTTCACTATAACAGTTTACGAACCGAAAACGAATGGCTCCGGTCCGAGCGAACCGTGCTGAACCAAAGAATCAACTACTATACTCAAATTTTGGCTTACCAACAATTTCAACCTTTCTCCACTGCATGGACATGTAACACTACTACGGTGTAATAAATCACCTTGGTTAATCAAGTAAATTAATTATGATTAATCTCAGTTAAAATTATAAGATAAAGTTATAATTTGTCTGTAAAATATTTAAATTTGGTAAATTAGTCTGGGGATTTTCCGTGCTATTTTTGGGGAAAAGCTAGGACTGGTTTTGGAAAATATTGTTAATTTTTTTTCAAAGCCATATGGTTGATTTATTATCAATTAATATTAAATATTTATGTATAAATATTTGTCCTTTTTTGGCTAATTATAAATATGGGTTGCTATGTTTATTCTGAGGACATTTTATATTATTTTTTTATTTTTTATTTTGTGTATTTTATACTGTATATGTTATCAAAATTTTGTGTACAAAAATGAGTGCTGGTAAGTTAAACTGCCTAATGATTTGATGAATGAAGAATGAATCAATGATAACACCGGTGGCAAAATAGAATATATATATATATGCAATTGTCAATAGGAAAGAATGCTTACATCTAAAGAAAGATAAAAAGGTACTATGAGATGAGAGAATTTAAAATAGAAAATGTGTGGGAATATGTGATGAAAACTAATACGTAAGATAGGAAAATATTAAAATAAAACCATATTATAGCCAACTAAGTGGTGTAATCCAAATGATAAGCAATCCAGAGTTTTCTTTTTGTTCTTTAGATAAGAATCAACTCAAAGTCTTAGCAAGATTTTTCGATAAATATTACTTCCCCTATCTAATAATAGGTGACTTTTAAAGTTAACACATTTGTTAAGAAGAACAATATTAGAAGCACTTCTTTTCAATGTCCTCTCTAAAAATCACTCTTTTATTAGATAAAATTCATCTAGATCATATGATTTAATGTGATATTGATTTGTAAAGTGAGAGATTCGCATGAGTTTTATTTAATAAAAGACTGAGCGTTAGAGAATGTTAATAATAAAGTATTTATATCACTTTTCAAGTTAACAAAATGACAAATTATGTTTAGTATAATGATTAATTGAATTTTATTTACTCAAAAACGCATACGTGACATATCATAAGATGATGAGCATATTTTTCAAAAACTTGAAAGGAAATATATTAAAAGTATATATGAACGACGTGATTTTAAAAATAAAAGAAGAATACAAATACACAACCCACATAGAGTTTATATTCGAGGAGGTTAAGTAATATTGTATGTATTTGAACTCAAATAATCAGAATAAGGATGGAAAAGTTTACGTGATATTGAAACCTACAAGTGTCAGGCCATTGCCAATATGATGACCACAAAAAAAATTCTAAGAAGGGTATTCAACAATTAATAGTGCGAAGTTGGATATCTTAAAGTTGATTAGCGGTATCTTTAATGAGATCATAGAAGGTTAGGGATCTGATTCGAGTTTGGTTGATCGGTTACTACTAATCAATCAAGGTAATGGAGGTGAGTTCCGAGTTAGTGAGAATGGTGTGATGAGATTCGAAGATAGAGTGTGTGTTTCAAATGTGTCAGAACTTAAGAAGAGTGTTCTTGAGGAAGGACATCGACGTGGTCTAAGTATTCATTCTGGTGCGATGAAGATGTATTAGGATTTGAAGAAATTGTTTTGGTGGTCTGGTATAAAGAAGGAAGTTGCTAAGTTTGTGTTGGCTAGGATTTTTCACACAGATTAAAATCCAACCAAAAACCAAAAAGATGCTTTGAGAGTTTTGAATTATGAGAAGTCGAGCACAGAAGCAGTCGACCGAGAAAGATTTCATAAGTAGTCAATTGTACTTGTGGACGCAGTCGACCAGAAAGAGGCCTCATGGATAATGGATTGGACCCATGAACATTAAAAAGCCCAAAGAGTGCATAACTAGCAAAGCAAAGTGCTATGAATGGAGAACATGAGTTTGATAGCAGGAATGGAGAACGTGGAATCATGGAGAGAAGTTACCAGAGACACGTGGCGTACAAGGAAGTGAAGCCCGCCAGAAAGTAGTTAGTTTTCATGTATTATAAATAAAGCACTTAGTGCATAGTGTAAGAGGTTCAAACTTTCACATCCCTATACGCTAGTCACTCAAATACCCAAGCGAACGAGCGAAACGAGTCAAGCTAGGGCAATGCATGTTTGAATCAACCTATTTTCAACTGTTTTGATGTTATGTCATTTATATTTACAGTTTAAAACGTCTTTTGTTTTATTTTACAAGTCTTGCTTTATTGCTTATAAACTCGTTTGACACTAGTCGAACGAATCTTTTTTAACATATTTTGTGAAAACACTCGAAAACTAAAGCACGACACTGAGATTCCCTAGTCGATCTCGTCAGTAAATTTTTTGTTAAGAGAGCAGCGTTGTTTACCAAAACCAGAGATAAACAAATTGGCACACGTGGTGGGACCGTGCTAATAATTTTGTATTTGTGTTTGGTTTTGTAAAGTTTCTTGTAGTTTAGTTGGTGTGTGTATGAATTTAAGAAGTGGTAAACATTTGTCGAAGTCTAAAATGCCACACTCTGGCACAAACACTGCACATACGTAGATTTTTACACAAAATATGGATGTCATACCAGTGAGTGCCACAACTCAAAGCGCAACGGTTTTATCTTCTGTGAGATCGATCGTTGTTAATGGTTCAGTGACAACATTCACGATGACAGAACCTAGGCATGGGATATCACCATTCAACCTAAATCAACCACTCTTTCCAGGGGGTTCAGGGTCATCATTTGTCCCGTATCAATATGGTATGCCTTACTCTATGATGGTTGGGTTACATTCGAACCTGTCCATATATACAGAAAACACAGTGGCCACTGGAAACCAAGGCAGTTATGTCCCATGTGGTCGACCAGGTGGTGTTGGTTATATACCTCAGTCGACACCATCTTTGAATACTACTTCTGTCATGGCTTTAAGACAATAGATGGATGAGAGTAATTTAGAGTTAGTAAATATCTTAACTCGGTAAATGGGAGTTGCTCCCAGTCCCGTAGTTGACCGAATAGGCATATTGATCGACTCATTAGGGGTCTAACCAACGCAAACGTGCCACAAGCCATTAAGAGTTTTTGAAGAACTAGAGGGAGGCAACAATGAGCGTCCTTTTAGACCTCGAAGAGTGGAAGTACCCACTTATAAAGAGGAAGAATTAGTTGACCAATATGAACCTAGGTCGGTCGTAGTTAGGAGGAACCAAGATGTTGATTGAGTGTTAAGAAATACCATTGTTGGGCGTAATAACATAGTGAATATAGTAGAAGAGGTGTTAACATGATCCGGGGTAAATGTTGGCCTTCGGGGGCCTAATTATTCGTCTCCCTTGCCTGATTATATTCGATAGGCAGAATTACCTAGGGGGTGTAAGGTACCTAAATTTACCAAGTTTGTTGGTGATGCCAATGAGTGGACCATTGAACATATCGCTAGGTACGAAATAGAAGTTGTCGATATCGCCAATGATGAGGGTTTAAAATTAAGATATTTTCCTAATTCACTGACCAAAAATGCTTTTACTTGGTTTACGACATTGACTCCAAATTTTATACGCACTTGGGAACAACTCGAGAGTATATTTCATGAACAATTTTATGCTGGTCAGCCTAAGATAAGTGAAAGAGTTATCCTCAATCAAGAGGAGGTCGTCTGAGTCAATGGAGGATTATTTGAATAGGTTTAAGGTCCTAAAATCTAGGTGTTTTAATAGAACTCTTGAACAATAGCTGGTCGAAATGGCCGCTAAAGGTTTAGATTATTCTATTAGAAAGAAGTTTGATCCTCAATCTATTACAGATATATCTCAACTAGCTGATAAGGTTAGATATGTCGAACATTTGAAAACAGAGAAAGCTAGAGTTTCAAATGATCATAGAAAGGAAAAGTGACCTATGTAGACACAGGAGGTTATTCTATAGAGTCTGAGGATGAATGCCTGGAAGAAGGAGAAGTTAATGTGGCTGAATTAAAAGCCATACCTTCATATGCATATAAACCTATAAGACCGTCAAAAGGAAAAATGGTTGGAGAACCAAAAAGTGATAAATCTAATACTAAAAACATGTACTTTTGATGTTTCAAAATATGATGAAATATTTGATGTTTTAGTTGCAGATGATAAGATTATAGTGCCTCCGGGCAGTAAAAATCCACCATTAGAGAAGAAACAAAAAAGAGGTTTCTGCAAGTATCACAATTTTCTGGGTCATAATACTTCTCAATGTTTTCTTTTCAGGGATTTGATTCAGAAGGCTCCGAAAGATGGTCGATTGAAATTTGGTGAAAAACAAAAAAGCTCCATGAAGGTCAACTCAGATCCTTTACATGTTGCTGATGCACACTTTGTCGAGCCATTAGAAGTGCTGATGATTGAGGCTACTGATGGTCTCGAAGGTAAACAAGCTAACATTATCGACTTACTGACAACATTGACAACTAAGACTATTGATGGTTTTGAGAACGAACAAGCTATGATCATTGATCCAATGTCAGCTGCAGTAGTTGAGACTATTGAAGGTTACAAAAGTGACAATGGCAATTTGTCTAAGCCATAGGAAGTGATGGTAGTCGACATGGCCGAAGAGTCTGAGGGTAATCAGGGCGACAGGGAAAAAATGGATTGTAAACCAAGAATGAGGAATTATCTGAAGAAACAGTTGTTGAATTGATAAAGGTTGTGTTTCCCAAAACTGAGGAAGAATTGGTAGATTTTCTGAATAGATGCAAGTTGAGTAATTCCAGGTCTATGTTGTGCCCGAATTGTAACGTGGTCTATGATGAAAATGTTGCAAATAAAATTGAGGCGTTGAAGAAGAAACGTCCTCAAGAGAAAAATCCAAAAGTGGTGTTCGACCATGCGAAGGGTCCATACAAAGATCAAGTGCCTCAAGGAAACCCTAGGTTTCCGTGTCAAAGGACCTTTGTGTCACCAATTGATGCTCCTAACAATAACTAGGTTCGTCCTTTCTATCCAAGGGGGAAAACCAAAATTGGAAGGTAGTGAAGAAAGGTTCAGGTTCGAGTCACAAGTGGGAAATGATGGAG